GTTAATGCTGACTGCCAACTTGATAGGATCTAGAATCGAGCCTCAGGGCAGGAGGGTTCTAGAGTAGGGTATCTGAAGGGAGAAGCCAGACCTGTGCTAAATATTGAACATCATCATCCATGAGCTAAAATCTTGAACTGAATGAAAAGGAGATAGTGAACCAAGCACCAACATCCATCTCTCTCTGCTTTTTGATTACAGATGCACTGTGACAGCTGCATCACACTCTTGCCACCATGCTTCCCCTGCCTCAGATAGTAAGTCAAAATAAAAATTTTTTAAAACTTGGATTGCTTCTTGTCTGGTGTATGGCCACTTTTCTGTTGCTGTGATAAAATACCATGTCCAGAAGCAGAAGCAGCTTATAGAAGGAAGGATTTATCTGGGCTTACAGTTCCAGAGAGACATGGTTGCAGCAGGCATGGAGGCAGGAACAGCTATGAGATCACATCTAGATTAGTGAGCAGGAAGCAGAGCAGATTGAGAATGGTGCAAGTCTTTATACTCTCAAAGTCTCCAGTGACATACTTCCTTCAATAAGGCCCCATCTCTCAAGCCTCCCAAACAGTGCTGTCAATTGGGGACCAAGTATTGAAATGCCTAAGATTTATGGGGGACATTTCTCATTCACACTATGACATCCACAGCAAAAAGAAAGGTAACTGCAGTGGTGGTTTGGGTAATACTCCCCACAGACTCATATATTTGAATGGTTGGTCACCAGGGAGTGGCACTGTTTGATGGGGATTAGGAGGTAGGTGTGATCTTGTTGGAGTAGGTGCGACTTTGTTGGAGGAAGTGTGTCAATGGGGTGGGTTTGATATATCAAGAGCTCCAGTCAGGCCTAGTGTCCTCTTTTCCTGCTACCTGCAGATCCAGATATAGGACTCTCAGCTACCCCTCCAGCACCAAGTCTGCCTGTGTGTTTCCATGCTTCCACCGTGATGACAATGGACTACACCTCTGAAACTGTGAGCCAGCCCCAATTAAATGCTTTCCTTTATAAGAGTTGCTGTGGTCATGGTGTCTCTTCGCAGCAATAGAGCACTGACTAAGAAAGTTACTAATACAAGGCCCACCACACTATGGACGGTGAAACTACTAAGTTCATAGGTAAATAAAACTCATTCAAAATAATCAATTCAGAAATATCCAGAGTAGCCGGGCATAGTGGCCCACTTAGCAGGCAGATCGTTGTGAGTTTGAGACTAGCCCAGTCTACAGAATGAGTTCCAGGCCAGGCCAGCCTAAGGTAGACAGGGAAACTCTGTCATGAAGAACCAAAAAAATAAAATAAAATAAAAAGAGAAAGAAAGGAGGGAAGGAAGGAGGGAGGGAGGGAGGATCCAGAAGAGTGATGTTTGACCAAGTGTTTTAACCTATGGCCCAATAAAGTAGACACAAAATTATCCATTGCAGAGCCTCACCAGGAATATTGCCATCTGTTGGAGCAAGGCCCTTCTATGTAAATCAGACCTCAGCTTCCTATGCATAGTAGATACCTAGAAACCCAGCTGTTTCACAGGCCACCAACTGGCTCCACCAGCTGGGGCAACCGAGAAACAAGATAAGGAGGTAGATTGCAGGAGTGTGTTACAATGGGTGCTGTAACAATGGAGGTGACTACTCCTAACCCAGTTGCAAGGAGGAGACAAATGGTCTGCAAAAAGTAGAATTTCAAAAGCTCAGCTGCCTCATACCTTGGAGTGTGAATGAAGACAATTGTTCTGCTTGCTTCATGGAGGGAGGCACTCACACAGCCCAGGACAGGAGCTTCCCTCTAGAATGTAATGCTTCAACTTGGAGGAAGTTGCTACCCAACACAAGCTGAGAGGAGTATATAGCATGTTTCTATTAGCTCCAGCCATAGGAAGCCTTCAGGAAGAGCTGGTGATACTGTTATTCAGACTACATGCTGAAGACAGGATGCTCCTTTCTCCTAAAAAGATATCTGAACAGTGTTTTTCTGAGAAAGATGGGATGGCCTACTGTTTAAGAATGATATAATCCATTCTAGTTCCTAATAAAGATGATCATGGAGCAGGGTGGCATTCCAGCCAGTGACTTCCACCATTCTAAAATCTACCCCTTTCCTCCCTACTCACCCCTGGTAAAGGTTCTCCTTTTTTCTTTTTTCTTTACTCAGAAAAGCTTTGAAATAACACCCACAAGTGGCTATTGTAACTGAGATGTGGGAAAGGGGGGATGTAATTGTAAATATCAACCTAGTACCCATTGCTGCATCATCCCTTCATTGAGCAGAAATTACTTCCTGGAGAGAGGTATGGCTCACATCACACATTCTTGTACCAATGACAAAGTCTCTTGCTCAGGCTCAGCTATTCTTTCTCAACACCTAACAGAAATTTTCTTTTTGTGTGTGTGTGGTGCTTCTTTTTTCTGCTTTTCTTTTTTATTATTTATTTTTAAATTTAAATTTAGATTAGAAACAAGGTTGCTTCACAAGTCAGTTCCAGGTCCCTCTCCGTTTCCCTCCCCTCCTCCCGTGCCCTTCCCCCAAGCTCCTCAATGTCCTCTCATTTCCCCAGGGAGGGTGAGGCCCTCCTTGGGGGTGTCCATAGAGTGTCATTTCATACAGGGCAGGGCCTAGATCCTCCCCAAAGAGTTCAGGGTGAGAGGGCATCTCACATTGTTGGATGGGAGTCCAAAGTCCATGTGTATACTGGGGATAAATACTGATCTACTGCCCAAGGCTCAATAGATTACCTAGGTTCTCATTTTTCAAAGAGCCCATTCAAATATGCTGTGCAAAGAAACTGTATCTACATGTTTAACAAATTGAGGTAGCTACAAAATTACTGCCTGAGAACTAGGCTGGGGCTGGACCACTCAGGATCATTTTGGCTTTGGCTCTCAGTCATTCACTTCCACTTGTAAATTTCCTCAGATCCCTCCTTAAGTCCAGGTTGTATGTGGGCATTAGAGGTATAAAGATTAATAACAATAACCGTGGCTAATATACCTCGGTTACTCACTACTTGCCATTGGAGCTATTATTTAATGCGATTTGACATACAAATGCATCTGTACTTGCTACTTTGCTCCTTGCTATGACAGAAACAACTTAAGGGAGGAAGGACTTATAGCCGTGCCCTGTTTCAGGTGGTTCAGATGCTTGGGTCATGCACTTGGGCAGAACATCACAACGGTGGGAGTACATGCCAGAGGAGGTTCTCAGCTCACAAAGGATGAGAAGTAGACTGAGTAGCAGAAAGTGGTTAGGAACAGAATTATCTCCAAGACACACTTTCCAAAAGAACTTGTTTCTCTAACTTGGCACCACCTTCTGAACTCCCCCCCCCCAAATACTGTCACTGGCTGGGGTGAACTGTCCAGCATGAGTTGTGAGACCAAAACAGGAACAAGAGCAATATACCTTGCAAGTAAATGGAAGACCAAAATAGGAAAATTTACCTTTAAGGTTAAGAGTTCTGTTTGCAGTTAAAAATAAGTTCCTGTTTGCCCTATGTTTATTTGACCCATCTGCTCCGGATGTGGTCACATGTGGGCAGGAGGTACCTGAGCAGGAAATACATCAGGATGTATACTTGCTCCTGATTGGACCTGATGGGAAGTACAGTAAATTATGGGTTTTGCTTCTTTAAGCCCCTGAAAAACCATGACTCATGGCTATTTCCTGGGAACCCAGAGATGCACCTGGCCAGAGGCCATTCTGGTCAGTCTTTAATTAAAGAGTGTTTCAAATTTGGCTTTAAGTTTTGGTAGTGGTCTTATTCTCAACCAGTGGAATTAACAGAGCTTCTGAAAAACATCTTATATTCAAATCATAACATCTTCTAAGTTTCTCATTAACCCCATGATCCATTGGTTCTCAACCTATCAGTCACAACCCCTTGGTGGTCAAATGATTCTTTCACAGGGGTCACCTAAGAGCATATGCATGTCAGATATTTACATTACGATCTATAACAGCAACAAAATTGCAATTATGATGGAGCAACAAAACAACTTTATGATTTGGGGTCACCACAATATGAGAAACTGTATTAAGGGGGTCAAAGCATTGGGAAGGTTGAGAATCACCACTATAACCCTAGGTATTGTTCTCATTTGATAGGTAGGGAAACCGAAGCTCAGAGGAACTAATTTTGAAGACCTTACCTACTGTAAGTGGTAATATTATGATGAAGATAGGAGCTCATTACCATCCTGAATCACAATGACCTTTATCTGACTCTGTTTGAGGGCATGGAACAGCCATCCTGGTTTTGCTAGCCACATTTCAAATGTGGGCCACATGTTGAGAATTTTGCAAACTTGGCAAAACCTAGGAATACCTCTGTAGTGCTTGATCAAAACAGCCCCTCCTTGGAGATCTGAATTCAACATTTCAACCTTGAAATCCCGATTGGTAGCATGCATGACCGTTGTAGTTCTGTGTAATGGCTTTTGAGGTGGACATACTCCAGCTTGCCTTGCTCATCGGCCGCTCTTAATTTACAAGAGTTGTGTCACTCTCTAGGTGTCAGTTTCTCAGTCTGCCAAATGAAACCAGTGAGGTATTGAGCTAAACCAAAGCACTTAGGGCAGTGCCCACCGTACAGCAAGAGAAAACAGTGACAGAATAACAGTGGCAATGTTCACGCAGTCAAGATGCCTTAAAGGCCCCTGAGATTATGGTGGGCATTTTGGAAGGTGTGCAACTTCTTAGGACATCAAATAGAAATGGAATTTCAGATAAACAATATTTAAAAAGTAACAGCATAAGTACCTCCCAACTATTGCATGGGACATACTTGTAGTAAACCTTTTTTGCTATCCTTTTTTTCAATCTGAAATCCCAGAATACGAAGCCGCCCTATATTTGTGAAAATGGCAACTCCAGGTCTCAAAGCCTCAACACCCAGTCGACTGCACAGTGGTACCCTGACCAGGCACAAGGATCGATCCCAGAGGGGCAGCATGCCCCGTGCCCCGCCCAGGCAGCACTAGCGGCACCCGAGCGGCCCCGCCCCGCCCGTCCCTCTGGGAGCCGAGGGCAGGTTCCAGACTGTTCCGGCGGAGCTGCAGGGCGGTGTGGAGTCGCTCCCTCCTCCCACAGAACGTGCCCAGGCAAGGCCAGAAAGTCGCTAGCCATGTCATCTGCGGAGGCAGGGGATGTTTTCCACAGAGCCCGGGGCAGGACCCTGGACGCGTTCTCCTCAGGTACTGCTTGGCTCTTCGTCCGGGAAGGGGCACTGCAGAGCTGCGGAACCCTCCGCGCAGGGAACTCTCCGGTTACGGGGCACACTTCCAGGCGGACTCCTTCGCCGGTTGCTCTCGGCACCGGGGGACCTCTGTAGGAGTTGCGCCTTCCTGCTGGTGCTAGGTTCTTCACTGGCCTTGCCTTGACCTTGCAAGAAAAAAAAAAAAAAAGAGACAGAGAGAGAGAGAGGGAGGGAGGGAGGGAGGGAGGGAGGGAGGGAGGGAGGGAGGGAAGGAGGGAGGGAAGGAGGGAGGGAAGGAGGGAGGGGAGAGGAGAGGAGAGAAAAGTCGGGTGGAGATGGCAGAGAAGTGAATAACTGCCTTGGCTCTGCCGTGGAACCTATTTGCGACTTCTAAAGTTTCCTCACCCGTAGAACTGGACGCTGAGGTTGTGGGAAGCGAGCTTAAAAGAGGCACCTGACGCCGGGCATTGGTGGCGCACGCCTTTAATCCCAGCACTCGGGAGGCAGAGGCAGGCTGATCTCTGTGAGTTCGAGGCCAGCCTGGTTTACAGAGCTAGTTCCAGGACAGCCTCCAATACAATACAGAGAAACCCTGTCTCAAAAAACAAAAAATAAAACAAAACAAAACAAACAAACAAAAAAAGGCACCTGACAAGGGCTGGTTGTCTGTCAGAGGTTGGGACTTGTAAGATTGCATTTTATACCCCATAATTCCTGCTGTTTACTATAACAGTAGAAAGGGAAGGCGGCCTGGGTCCTGGTAACATTCTTGGACGTTAACACACTCAGACTGTCACTGTAACCTAGGGTGGAACACATGCCAGATGCTAACACAGTTGGTTCCCGGGCCCCTCTGTTTTGTTTGGGTCTTTGGGGTTGATCCTCTCAGCCACTTAGCTTAAAACCACAGGAAAGTTCACTCTTGACTCTTGCGGTCCTTTCTTGCCTTGTTCTCCTGCCTCCAATTTGCCTGAACTGCCCTGAAAAAGGAGCAGGCTGGTTCCAAACCCCGGAGGGCCTTGGCACCTGCTCCTCTCTGCTCTCACCGCCCCTGGTGGGACTGTGAAGTCTGACTCCTTCTCAGCCTTCACATCCTATTTTCAAGTTCATTTCTCCAGTCTTACCTCCGGCTGCCTAGCCGAAGTAGATCAATCTTCCAATTGTCTCCTAGGTCTTTGGTTCTTTTCCCACTTTACAGTTCAAGGTTCTGCACAACTGCACAGCCAAAAATCCACTTGTGGTTGACTGGGGAAAGTGCAATCTGCTATGGTACCATTTTCTGCAATTTTAATGTGTCTTGGTTTTTGGTTGTTTGTTTCCCTGTGTGTTTTTGAGATGCATCCATATTACGAAAAGTAGCTCTTATTTCCTTGTGGGCAGTATTCCATTGATTGAGTATATGGGCTGTACGTTTTGTTAATGGATGTGCTGAGCCTTCCCCAACCTGGTGTATTTCTTCTCTCTTTCCATCTCCAAATGTCTCTTTTCCACGGTGCTCTAGGAAAGTGACTGTTATGGACAAGCAGCAGTGAATTCTTTGCCCTATGCTTTAGAAAGCCTTAAGAGCCCAGCAAGGAAGAGACTCAGCCAATGGGAAGCTTCTACGGGAGATCAGGGTGAAGAAAAATCAAAACACCAGCACATTTATTCCTACACGTGATGCCCTTCCAGGGTTCCCTTTTGTAGACTGTATTCCTCCCCCTGCATGCCCTGCTTCTCAACAATCTATTTTTTCAGACTCGTTTTCCAGATTGTGGCATCTGAGTGACAGTGGTTCTATCTTTTGGTGGCTAAAGTATCCCTCTTGGCTTCTTTACATTCAACCCATTCCAAATAATCCCTTTAAAGATGACCCTGAAACTTTCCTAATTTTAGTATGTTAACTATTTCTTTCTTGGTCCTGACTGGTACAATGACCATTTGGTTATTTGCTTTTCATTCTTGTTAACAGTGTTGCAAGCCTTTTGTAGACACATGGGAGAATTTCTTCAGGAGCAAGGGTGTGGGTTCTAGGTGTAATCACTCCCAGATGTACCAGGTGTCATCATATTACCTTCCAGATGGTTGTATCCATCCATGTTCCTTTCAGCAGACAGCAGAGTCTCCTGCTATGGCTCTTTTCAGTCTGAGAAACACTTAGCATGCCTCATTTACACTCTCTAGTAAGTTGTGGGGAATAGAAGAAGGAGGAGGAGGAGGAGGAGGAGGAGGAGGAAGAGGAAGAAGAAGATGTAGTAGTAGTAGGAAGAAGAGGAGGAGGAGGAGACAAATTTCCACTCCTCAGGCTCCAAATCTAGGCATAGAGCTGTGGCATACAATAGCAATCCCTGGTACCTCCTGGCCCCTGCAGTGGGAGGAGTCAGGATTGTAAGTACTTGGCCATGGTTGATGGCTGGGTTGGGATTGGGAGGGGGGTTGATTGGCATCAGAGAGTGAATTTGAGATGTTGTCTGGAACTCTAAACACTGCAAGTTTAGGGAGGTAAGGATGAGGTTCTTTGCTAGAAGATTTGGAGGCATTATTGTGAAGGGGAACAGTGTACCCCAGTGGGTGGTGCCTGTGTGTTGTCTATACTGTGTGTTTACTAGTCAGACAAATGTAGCATACATCAAAGATCCAAAAGCAGAAAGAGCCAAAAATTCTGGAAAAACCAGCAGCCTGTCTTATGGCACAAAGCCAGGCAGGAAAACTTCGTGCAGCAGGAAGGCAGTAGTGTCAGATGCCACAGAGACCCATGTGAATGTAAGCTGAGCTGCTGACTCACAAGTGCTCCTAGGACCACTGTGGGAAGTCTGTAGAGACAGATGTCACACAACCATCCAAGGAATGCAGTTAACTCAAGCAGCTGTCCCTGCTTTACACCGTGCCCACAGTCCTGAGTTAGCTACCCACCCCCCAAATAAAGAGGTGATTTACCTGCGTGACAGTACTCCCATTTCTCCGGGTGTTTGGTAAGAGAGTCTTAGTTTCAACTATCCTGTTAACATAATCTGCTCTGCTCTGCTGATGGGGTTTATAGGAAATAAAATGTAAATGTCTCACCTGAGCAAGTTCATGTTCCTAAGTCCTGTTCAGACACTCATTGCAATTAGGAGAATTGATGATTATAGTTCTTTGACACATATCCTAATTAGAACTTTTTCTGCATGTAGCAGTCTTCTCAGAGGTTCACTGCATCTGTTCTGAAGGAAGTTTGAAAGGGAGAAATCAGGACAAAGGTGCTTTTAAAAATTGTATTTAAGGGCCAGCAAGATGGCTCAGAGGGTAAAGGTGTTTGCCACCAGGCCTGAAGTCCTGAGTTTGATTCTCAGAGCTCATATGGTAGAAGAGCAACTCCCATAGATTGTCTTCTGATCTCCCTGTGTGTGCCATGGCATGTGTACACCCACACAAAATAAATAATAAAATGTAATCAAATTGTATATAATTTGTTCTGAGGTACTAAAATTATTTTTTCTGAACACCTCCCCCCATCAGATATTTTTACCTCCTTGGGTAGCTTCCTTTAAAAGATTGTTTGGGGGTCTGGGGAGATGTCTCAGCATTTAAGAACACTTCCTGCTCTGCTAGAGGACCTGGCCTCAACTCCCGATACCCAGGTCAGGTGGCTTATGGCCAAAGGGATCTGGCACCCTTTTCTGAATTCTACAGGCATCCAGATACACGTAGTATACACTCACACAGGTAAACCCATAGGTATGCACATAAATAAAACAAACAATAATTTTTAAGGACTGTACTTTAAAAATAACAAAAAATTGTTTTCCTGGATATTTTGCACCTCTGTAGCTGCCTTGTAGGAAGTGATTGTTTTTGTTAATTTGGAATATTTCTTGGTCCTTCCTGTAAATACTCTCACTGAAGAGAATAAGTGGATTCTCAGTGGAAATAATCAAGTTTAAACAGTTGTAACAGGGCAGAAGATGAAGTGGGAGCTCCAGTTGTGCCTTTTCATTTAGGACAAATTAGTTCTTTCTTATTTGAAGAGGGCTCTGGTCAATAAAAGCTGTGGGAGTGAACGGCTTTGGCCCAACAGCCTAAATCAATACAGAGTGTAATCACAGTGGCTGAACTTGGGCTGGTTGTGTAAGGCCCTGTGGTGATAACTGAGCTATAAGCTATTAACTAGGTGAGCTGTAGCTCAGTGACTGCTGGACTGACTATGCTGTAGCCAGTTAAATTGCTTCCTAGTTTTCACTTCTGCTTTCCGTTACTCACTTAAATGCTACCTGGCCTGATGCTGGGGTTCTCAGAACCTGCTGGCTCTAAGAGCTGCCTGCTCACAAGACATCTTTGTTTTGTTTTGCTTTGATCAAATAACTGAACTGAATTTAATTGGCTAAAGGAAGTTCCTGTGACAAAATAGGATGTCAGTCCTTTCACACTTCCTCATTGTAACAACCAGCTAAGGGATCCAGTGATCAGTGTACATTTACGTTTTTTAAAGGTCTTACTTTTCAAAAACCTAATTTCTACCTTAATTATTTTGCTTGTTTATTTGAGACAGGCTCTAGCCCAAGCTGGTCTGGAACTAATGAGCCTCCTGCCTCAGTCTCCCAAGTTCTGGGATTACTGATGTGTACCATCACACCCAGCTATGTTTTTATTTTAAAAACTTTATTAGGAATGTTTTACCATAGCTTTCATTCATATTGAGCTTACAGCTTGTTTTCAGTAGATTTCCAGAATGATGCAGGCATGCGGAAGCTTCAGTCTGTAGGTGTTCCCACTCCAGCCTTCACAGATAGCTACCAAGTTCCTGTACAGATGTGTCTTATTTGGACATTTCCTGTGATTGGAATCGTGTGTGGCCTTTACTGGTAGGCTTCATTTTAGAATATTTTAGAAGCTCATCCACGTTGTAGCAAGTAGTTAGTGTCTTGTCCCTTTTTACTGCATCACATTTCATTGTGTGAATAACTAAATTTGAGTATCCGCTTATTGATAGCATTTGGATTTTTCATATTGATGGATATTCATTAAGGTGTTTTTTAATGA